CCTTGGGGCATTTTCTAACTTTTTTGATTTTCTCATCATACATCAGAAAAATTACAAAAAAATCTAAAAAAAAATAAATTTCTAAATTTGAATGCAGATTTTTAGAGAATCGCGCCAGAAACATTTAAAGGTATGCCACTTCAAAATCCGATTAATATTAGTTGAGTTATGGAGTATGGAACTTCAGCCTTGGGACATTTTTTAAGTTTTTGAATTTCTACAACATCATCACATCAAAAAAATGACAAAAAATTAAAAAAAAAATAAATTTCTAAATTTGAACGCAGATGTTTAGAGAATTTCGCCAGAAACATTTAGAGGTATGCCACTTCAAAATCCGATGAAGGAAAGTTGAGTTATGGAGTATGGAACTTCAGCCTTAGCACATTTTTTAATTTCTTTGAATTTCTACACATCATGCATCAGAAAAATTACAAAAAATTAAAAAAAAAATAAATTTCTAAATTTGAACGCAGATGTTTAGAGAATTTCGTCAGAAACATTTAGAGGTATGCCACTTCAAAATCCGATTAATATAAGTTGAGTTATGGAGTATGGAACTTCAGCCTTGGGGCATTTTTTAAGTTTTTGAATTTCTACACATCATGCATCAGAAAAATTACAAAAAATTAAAAAAAAAATAAATTTCTAAATTTGAACGCAGATGTTTAGAGAATTTCGCCAGAAACATTTAGAGGTATGCCACTTCAAAATCCGATGAAGGAAAGTTGAGTTATGGAGTATGGAACTTCAGCCTTAGCACATTTTTTAATTTCTTTGAATTTCTACACATCATGCATCAGAAAAATTACAAAAAATTAAAAAAAAAATAAATTTCTAAATTTGAACGCAGATGTTTAGAGAATTTCGCCAGAAACATTTAGAGGTATGCCACTTCAAAATCCGATGAAGGAAAGTTGAGTTATGGAGTATGGAACTTCAGCCTTAGCACATTTTTTAATTTCTTTGAATTTCTACACATCATGCATCAGAAAAATGACAAAAAATTAAAAAAAAAATAAATTTATAAATTTGAACGCAGATGTTTAGAGAATTTCGCCAGAAACATTTAGAGGTATGCCACTTCAAAATCCGATGAAGGAAAGTTGAGTTATGGAGTATGGAACTTCAGCCTTAGCACATTTTTTAATTTCTTTGAATTTCTACACATCATGCATCAGAAAAATGACAAAAAATTAAAAAAAAAATAAATTTATAAATTTGAACGCAGATGTTTAGAGAATTTCGCCAGAAACATTTAGAGGTATGCCACTTCAAAATCCGATGAAGGAAAGTTGAGTTATGGAGTATGGAACTTCAGCCTTAGCACATTTTTAAATTTCTTTGAATTTCTACACATCATGCATCAAAAAAATGACAAAAAAATGGAAAAAAAATAAATTTCTAAATTTGAATGCAGATTTTTAGAGAATTTCTCCAGAAACATTTAGAGGTATGCCACTTCAAAATCCAATTAAAATTAGTTGAGTTATGGAGTATAGAACTTCAGCCTTGGGACATTTTATAGGTTTTTGAATTTCTACAACATCATCACATAAAAAAAATGACAAAAAAATGGAAAAAAAATAAATTTCTAAATTTGAATGCAGACTTTTAGAGAATAGCGCCAGAAACATTTAGAGGTATGCCACTTCAAAATCCGATGAAGGAAAGTTGAGTTATGGAGTATGGAACTTCAGCCTTAGCACATTTTTTAATTTCTTTGAATTTCTACACATCATGCATCAGAAAAATGACAAAAAATTAAAAAAAAAATAAATTTCTAAATTTGAACGCAGATGTTTAGAGAATTTCGCCAGAAACATTTAGAGGTATGCCACTTCAAAATCCGATGAAGGAAAGTTGAGTTATGGAGTATGGAACTTCAGCCTTAGCACATTTTTTAATTTCTTTGAATTTCTACACATCATGCATCAGAAAAAATTACAAAAAATTAAAAAAAAAAAAAAATTCTAAATTTGAACGCAGATGTTTAGAGAATTTCGCCAGAAACACTTACAGGTATGCCACTTCAAAATCCGATTAATATAAGTTGAGTTATGGAGTATGGAACTTCAGCCTTGGGACATTTTTTAAGTTTTTGAATTTCTACAACATCATCACATCAAAAAAATGACAATAAAATTGAAAAAAAATAAATTTCTAAATTTGAATGCAGATTTTTAGAGAATTGCTCCAGAAACATTTAGAGGTATGCCACTTCAAAATCCGATTAAGATTAGTTGAGTTATGGAGTTTCGAACTTCAGCCTTGGGACATTTTATAGGTTTTTGAATTTCTACAACATCATTACATCAAAAAAATGACAAAAAATTAAAAAAAAAATAAATTTCTAAATTTGAACGCAGATGTTTAGAGAATTTCGCCAGAAACATTTAGAGGTATGCCACTTCAAAATCCGATGAAGGAAAGTTGAGTTATGGAGTATGGAACTTCAGCCTTAGCACATTTTTTAATTTCTTTGAATTTCTACACATCATGCATCAGAAAAATGACAAAAAATTAAAAAAAAAATAAATTTCTAAATTTGAACGCAGATGTTTAGAGAATTTCGCCAGAAACATTTAGAGGTATGCCACTTCAAAATCCGATGAAGGAAAGTTGAGTTATGGAGTATGGAACTTCAGCCTTAGCACATTTTTTAATTTCTTTGAATTTCTACACATCATGCATCAGAAAAAATTACAAAAAATTAAAAAAAAAAAAAATTTCTAAATTTGAACGCAGATGTTTAGAGAATTTCGCCAGAAACACTTACAGGTATGCCACTTCAAAATCCGATTAATATAAGTTGAGTTATGGAGTATGGAACTTCAGCCTTGGGACATTTTTTAAGTTTTTTAATTTCTACAACATCATCACATCAAAAAAATGACAATAAAATTGAAAAAAAATAAATTTCTAAATTTGAATGCAGATTTTTAGAGAATTGCTCCAGAAACATTTAGAGGTATGCCACTTCAAAATCCGATTAAGATTAGTTGAGTTATGGAGTTTCGAACTTCAGCCTTGGGACATTTTATAGGTTTTTGAATTTCTACAACATCATTACATCAAAAAAATGACAAAAAATTAAAAAAAAAATAAATTTCTAAATTTGAACGCAGATGTTTAGAGAATTTCGCCAGAAACATTTAGAGGTATGCCACTTCAAAATCCGATGAAGGAAAGTTGAGTTATGGAGTATGGAACTTCAGCCTTAGCACATTTTTTAATTTCTTTGAATTTCTACACATCATGCATCAGAAAAATTACAAAAAATTAAAAAAAAAATAAATTTCTAAATTTGAACGCAGATGTTTAGAGAATTTCGTCAGAAACATTTAGAGGTATGCCACTTCAAAATCCGATTAATATAAGTTGAGTTATGGAGTATGGAACTTCAGCCTTGGGACATTTTTTAAGTTTTTGAATTTCTACAACATCATCACATCAAAAAAATGACAAAAAAATGGAAAAAAAAATAAATAAATAAATTTGAATGCAGATTTTTAGAGAATAGCGCCAGAAACATTTAGAGGTATGCCACTTCAAAATCCGATTAATATAAGTTGAGTTATGGAGTATGGAACTTCAGCCTTGGGGCATTTTTTAAGTTTTTGAATTTCTACACATCATGCATCAGAAAAATTACAAAAAATTAAAAAAAAAAATAAATTTCTAAATTTGAACGCAGATGTTTAGAGAATTGCGACAGAAACATTTAGAGGTGTGCCACTTCAAAATCCGATTAAGGTAAGTTGAGTTATGGAGTATGGAACTTCAACCTTGGCACATTTCTTTATTTTTATTATTTTTCTTAATACATCAGAAAAATTTAAAAAAAATTTAAAAAACAAGATATAACAAGAATACTAAGTCGAGTTCCCGGACTATCAGATACCCGGAATTCAGCTTGTGGAAGTGCGAAAGAGAAATTTCATAATTTTCGCTTCCTTCTGCCTGTTAAACACTTTTCAACAATCTACTATATCCTTTTACTCTACGAGGAACGGGTATAACGGCTGGAGGTCTTACACAGATATTTCAGTTACTTACTTTAAGCCACATTCTGTGTGATGGCTTTATCTACATCTCACCGACTTCACGCCAAAAAATGAAAGCCCTAATTTTAAAATTCAAATGCACCTCGATAGGATCTGGCGTTCTGAGGATGAGTCCTTCGCTAAATATCACCTTAACGTGTAATAAAGAATTATGTAGAGACAGTTAATACCCGCGAGACAAAAAGCGGCTGGCTTATCTTTGCCACCACCCCAATTGCTTGTGCAAAACAATTTTCGAATCGCTTCCTTTTGGCTGACGACGAAATTTTCGGGCTATACCCCTCCTTCTTAGCCATTTCCCCCACATTGTGTCTGCCAATTTACGTTATCGTTTTCAAATTGAAAATTTGCGTAATCACATTTTAAGTGAAAATCGCTTTGCAAATTAAATTAAATCGATTTCTTCAAGACGATAAAATCGGGCGGAGTGAAAATCGTTCTAACTAAAGTTGCAGGGCTTGTAAATATACATTATGGCTTCTTATTTCCGTTTCCGGTTTGGCACTAGAGCTTTAAGCTTTATTATGCATCTGCAGTTTCACTTTGGTGTCTGCATAGTCGCGACATTGCATCTCAAAGACCCATCAACGTCATCAAATCGTTAGTCAAATACGGGAAAAGAAAAAATATTTAAGTTCTTTGCTCTTCGCCCAAGTCTCTCGTGGCAATAAAAATGATGAAGTACTTTGAAAGTGCTACTAGGACTGGGCTGGCAAAATAAGAGAAGACGTTAGAAAAGCTTGCATTCCTGGCATATCCTTTAGTTTTCAGGCATACCCAACAATGGAAAAAAGGGTACATGGAAATTTCCGAATGGATTGAATGACTGGGTATTATGTTTTTATGATTTAAAATAAACAAAATCCCTTACTGGTAATATGAAGATATCTGAAAATATAAAATTAATTCTCCCCTCTATCATACTAGCCTTGAACTTCAATTCAGAATAAATAAAACCATTTATAATGTGTATCTAATTTTCAATTCTTTTATCATGTATCTTTCTTTTCCAACAATCTTTCTCTTCTTTCTGTATCCAGTGGTAGCAGTAATTCCTCAAGGCGTCACAATTAAGGAACGTAAGTCTTGGAAAAACCGAAACATACATTTGAAATCAATAGTAAATTGCAATCTTAGCAAAATGCTGGTACGTGGCAAACCCAGGACCCTGTGATGATTTTGTAAAAGTCTGGGGCTACGATTATATGACCAATCGTTGCATTTTCTTCTACTATGGCGGCTGTGGTGGAAATCCAAATCGATTTTACACGAAAGAGGAGTGCTTGAACACCTGCCGGGTGTACAGACCTGCAAATCGGAAGAAAAGGGAAGGGGACTTTGACGAGGAAGAGGAGGAGGAGGAGTTTGAGGAGGATATTGACAACTGGGACAAATGGGACGATTGGGACAAGTCGGAGCTATGAGTATACCAATAGAAAGGGTATTCAGAAGTCGCCATGGCCAGCACCCATTGGCTGCAAGTTAACTTTTGATTCGTTGTGCAAACGCATAATTTCAGTTTGAAAGAAAGAAGTTCCCGTCGAGTTGGTTGTAATGCGTTTTCCTTTAGCCGTCTCTCTGCTGCATTTTCCATTTTACTTACTACGGCTATATGTATGTATATCTCTCTAGACGTCTGTTTGCTGCCAATCTGGGCGACGGCCATTAAGTCAAACCGTTTGAAGCAATTGGAAAGCCACCCAGACTCTGCAAAATATCTATTTTTACAGACTCCCTGGGTTATTTATCAACAATTTTATGTGCATAGAGTTGCGATTCTGACAATTTTTGACATGCAATTTGCCATTTTCCATCTGCTACAGCCGCATATTGGGTGTGGAATTCGGCATTTTCCCGGAGGCTGCAATAACTTTTGGCAGCGAATGCAGATGCGGCTCATGATGAGATGAACTCGCCTTTGCTGATGCCTTGGCCAAATCCCCAGGGAAAATTCGCAACTGTCTGTGGCAGTAAACTTCGTAGTTTCCAGCTCAAATTTATGCTGCGCCGCATAAGATAGATAATAGTCACAAAAGAAACTGCCCTGCTAATTGGAAAGAATTTTGTTTGCCCATTCTGGCCTCTTTACATGGACCACCGCTCGTTAGGCTTAATTAGCAATCATAAAAGTAGTTCCCACTTAAATGTCGAACATTCCCATTTGGCCATGTGACACTTTCGTTGCCTGTGGTGTCGGCCAGCAGGATCTGATCCTGCATCGGGAATTGGAGGTGTTTCCGAGCTACCTACTTTACTTTCTGCTCACGTTGCTTTTCCGCTCCATCCCAACTTCGTCAGTCCCCCAAGACTTTTATGACTGATTATGTTGTGTTTCGGCCATTTAATTGCCACTTGGCTCTGGATGTGACTACTTTTATGGTTAATGAGCAACTTGTGGTTATTTAGGGGCTCGGCAGCGACAGGGATCAGGTGTGCAGACAACGTCTGGGTTTGATGGTCGGAGCGAGCCAATTAAATGGGTAATATGAGAAGCTGGAGGGTGGAGGACGTATAAATTAAAAAGAATTGCGTTGAACTTTGTCGGGGGGAAAAGGTTTCGAAATAGCTTTGATATTTTAAGCACAACTAACTACAAGTAACTGTATCTGAACGGCGAAGCAAAGTTATGCGCAAACTTATGTTCCTGAGGAACACAAAAACTCCATTAAGTGAAAGTTTATAGGTTACAGTTGCCCTGTTTTAAAGTTATTATTAACAGGAGTATCCTGTACATAATAGTAGTTTCATAATAATTCAGAGTTGGTTTTTAAATCTAAAGCTTAATTCACCATAAAGTCAACTAGAAATGGCTCTCGGCCTATTTAACATTTATCTCTTGATATGTAAATCACCAACTACCAACTCTGACATCATCTGTTGCTGCTGTCCAACATCATTTGACTGTTCTGTCAGTTCAACGATTTGAAAAATCGTTCACAATAAATTACATTTCAGGCAGACTTGTTTCCGTCCCGACACTCGAGCTGAAAATTTAAATAGGTCAAATATGCATTTAATTTCCGCACGAACGAAATGAATTTGTCTGGAGCTTTGTAAACGCTCTGTCTCTCGTTTTTCCCAGCCCCAGTTCCTCCAGCTGTCAAACACATAAAGCACAGGCAAAGTGTGCCTGCCTTCCCGACTCCCAGCGAATGTCCTGCCCTCCAACCAGATCCTTGCCATTTCCCACTGCTCTCGAGGTCGAGAGAACACGTGTTCGGGCCACCTTCCGCCTTCCATGGACTTCCGTACACTTAACTTATTTGGCTCCATTAAAATCTTGCTAAATAAATATTTAATGCGTGAACAACTGGAGAGGAGTTGGAGCTTGTGGGTTTGGTGGGGACTCGGGTACTTGGGGACTGGAACCTCCCCGTGGAACCTTCGGAGCAACAGCCTGGCCAGATGATTTATGACCTTCGCTCTTGGCCTGGCCTTTTGTTCGGGCACTTCTTCTGGGCCCAACTAATGGTTCATAATTGATTTTTATGCCTATTGTGTTGGCCATCTTGCCCCAAGTTGGCCATTGCCGCGCTCCCTCAAATGGCGCGTTCATAATGCGACGCACTGCACCAAGGCCTCATTACAGATGTTTTGTGTGGGTTGGGGCGTATTAAAAACTTATAATTTCTGCCATTGGTGGTGCACATAAATTCCTGTTATTGCCACAAAATGTTCGACTTAATGAAGCAGTGGCATTGAAATGGCTTTCTGCTTAATGTTTTAATTTGCAGCTCAAAGTAATCGAAAATCAATGAACAGAGCCTAAAACCAAATTCTATAAAACATGAAACAATCAGGTCAAGAATTTATTTTCGTATAGCCATTTCTAGGGACTTAAGTCTTGTTTCATACTTTGGGGTGCCCATCCTCATCCTCCTTTGAGGTGCCAACCCAATCCACTTGATTTAATAACTCCAATAAGATGCCAAAGTCAAACAGCCAGCCCCAAACGTAATTCCTACCATGTTGCCTTCAACTAAAATCTAAATAAATAAATGTCCATTTTGGACACCTACGAACGTGGCCAGTAGCAATTCCAGAGACAGCTGACGGGGGACTGGGGCTATTTGGGGTAGCTGTCCATGTGGAGACGCCTTTTTGCTAGGGGGAGTTTGGATCCAGCATTCCGGGCATATCATGCGTTTACTTTAATAATGCGCATAAATTGGTAGTCGTATGCGGACCTTTTGACTGCTTCATCCTCGGACACGAATTTGGAAATCGAGTGGGGAGCACGCCAGCGTTTCATTTGGCTTTTGTTTGACTTGGCGCCCCCGGCTGCAGAGGGTCCATCTGCCCGTCTAGTCAGACATTGTTCTCGCATCCCAGTCTGAGTGCGGGAATACTTTTTGCCAGCGTTTAATCTTTAATTTGCCGCCACTATGTGGGGCTGCCCCACCATCTGTCTGTCTATCCAACTGTCGGTTCGTCCCCCAAGCCCAAGTCCAAACTCAATTTATTTGTTTTAGCTTCTGGCCGTGGTGAATGGTAGTAAGGTATGCCGCATTAAATTAAACACTTAGCCGCTGCTCGGCACCGCTTGGCGTAAAAATTATGCCAGCATTTAAGTGTTTAATATCCGCCGGAGACTTCTGTGGGTCCCTTTTCCTTGGCTTTACTCTGTCGGTCCGCTCTGGATATTTATTAGTTGATTTTAATGGAAAAACCCCGGCGAACACTTGGCATACATAATTGTTGCGGGCGGAGACTTATGCCAAGACATAAAACTAGGGATTGTTGGCTGCTAGGAAAGCTGATGTCATGCAAATTAATATGAGCTTAGAGCAAACATTTTTAGATACTGAATACTTTAGGATTATTAAAGCTGCATTGTGTGGTGTTGAAACTTGAAAGAAACTTTAAGAATGAATTTAGCTGCTAGGACTTGAGAGTTGTGAAGGCTTCTTTGACTGAAAATAATTCCCCTCCTTTCCATTTATCTCCGCTAAAACTGCAATGCATCCACACCTTTCATATTCCGACCATGGTTCTCTTTGCCATCGCTAGCCTGCAATTCGTAAGCCCCTGGACAACTTTAACTATACCTCAAACGAGTCCCCACCCAATGCCAATAGACCACAGTGCTTGCCTGCATTTGCTAGCCAGAAAAACCCCAAAGGAGCCAGGAGCAACAAAGCTGCACTCAACACAAATGCAGCCAGAGGAGATATGCAGGACGAAAAGGACGAAGAACTCGTCCAGACCGAGGGCAAGACCAAAGTGGTATCCTATCCATTCGGCTGGACTTGCTTCTGTGGCCTGCTCCTGGCAGCAATTGTTAATAAGATTTGCACATCATTTCACGTGTCTGTCTGGCTGTTTTGCTGTATATTTGCATGCAATAAAGCCGCATGGAGTTAGACGCTCCTTCCCCAACACCAGTATTCATTGTCTCCACCCCGCAGGTTGGGTCTATTGTCTGTTTGGCATTTTATGGCGTACATTTAGCCGGCGACTGCAGCTGGCAAATATCAATGGGAATGGGTACCAAAACGCCATCCAAACCCTTGACTCGATTTCCGGCCACATTGCATGTGCAATGCCTGCTCGGGTCTGACCATTATTGCATTTTTTATGGCGTTTTTTTGACACATTTCTAATGGAATTTGCAAGGGCCAAAAGGAGTCTTGTGGCCCGAAGGCCCTGGCCTTAAATATTGATAAGCAATTCGGGACAGCAAGAACGTAATCGGGCAATTTGCTATAAATAAATAAGAAAGCTCTCAGTTGACTCGGATTTCCTACGTTTTTCGTGCTTCTAACTCCCTTTTTACTTATTTATTGCAGCAGAAAACAAAATTAAATTGCTATAAAACAATGATTTGCGTATTTCCCTAGGAGGGTGCGTCCCCCGAAAAAAGAAAGATAATAAAGGGCGAAGGTCTGGGCAGATAAAATGCGACAAATTAATTGGAATTTATGGCTTGGAAGCGTGTGAAAAACTTCGGGGAGCAGATACGAGTATGTTGGAGCCCAGCAAAAGATGAATGTCGGTGGGGCGTCAGAGGAGGACTTAATGAACAATTAGAGAGGATTAGAGGTATCCCACTTTTTTCGATACAGACACACACTAAAGTCCCATTGATTTGCAGGGAAAGTTGTGATTCGTTTTATTTGCCCCTTTTCCAGCGAGCTTAGCTATCCATTCCAAGCTTTCCAACGATGACAGAATTCACCGGCTGTTAACTTCATTCGAAATTCAAAAAGCCAAATTCAATGTGACAGCCTCCAGGCCACGGAAACTTCCTCGATAGCAAATCCATTAAAATATCAACAAAACTCAACGATGTAGGACATCAAAATGTAATTTTCGGCTTGGGCACAGCTTGTGCATAATAATGAGCTTGGGTCTGAGGTGGAAATGTGCTGAGATTTTCTCTTTTTGGCCCTAAGCCTTTTGCTTAACCGCAGGTGTTTTCCGCTGGGTTATTTTCATAATAATTATGCACAGATTAGATGTACTCAAGACAGCTTACGTGGCAAATAAACGAGCTTTAGCGTGGGATAGACTTAAATTTATTTTAAGGAATAACAACTGTGC